ATCACCATCATTTTGGTGCCCCCAGGCTCTGGCAGCCAAAGTAAGGCAATGTTTATATAACTTGTGGGGCCCATCAGTGCTGGCGCTCTCCCTTTGGCCCTATGCCCAAGGTTCCCGGCCAATGGAACATTACTCCCTGCAATCTTGTTTAGAAGTGCCTATAACGTTTCTGTCTCGTAGACAGTACTTTCACCCTGCTGACTTTATGGTAGAAGGGAGTACCATTGTGTGGTATCTCCACATATCAGGCACCAGCACACTTTGGGGGATCTGACAGGGGAGGTGTTCATGACAGATTATAGTTTGGATTGAATTTGGCAGAACTACATGGTGTGGCCAAAAACTTGAAAAAAATGTGACCAAACTGGCTTGTGACGTAGTTTTAATTTTCATGCAAATATGTCATGAAAAAGGTTTTTTTGACAGGATCATACGTAGTGCTGCATACCTAAACCCAATTTTAGGTTCAGGTCCGGATTCAAGTCCAGAGGTTTAGGTTCAGTTCCGGACTTGTAAGTCTGGACCTAAACCCATGGCATATACAAAATTGCATGTTGGCAACCTTGCAATGTTGTCTGGGTGAAATTTTATTAACTTTGGCCACATAACATGGAGGCCGACACTTGACAATGCCCGATGGCAGTGTTTTCTTCATTTTGAAGCAAAGATTTTACAATCTACGGAAGGCTTTAGGTGGTTTGGAAAGAAAGGGGTATGTGAAATGGTCTTTTATGGTAATAAGTCCGGACTCGGTTCTTGACTTTTAGGTTTTTTTTGGACTTGAACCTAAACATTCTTACATGTCTGGATCCAAGTCCAGTGAACCGGTATGCATCACTAATCATACGTGGGTGGCAGTGTGAGGGTAAGACTACTTTCTAAAGTAAGGTCATTTACCAAGTTTAATTTCAACTGTAGTCTGCTGGTTTGGTGGCCAACACTTATCATATATTATATAATATAGCAGAGAAATCTGCCATCTCCTATAAACATAACCTGTTAGGTGAAGCCATCTCCTGTTTTCCAGTAACCCTGCTGTATGACTGATAACCTACACCATCAGGAGGTCTGTGAGCTGTCACTACCAGCCGTGTCCAGTGGCACTTTCTAATGAAGCATGTCTAGATAACATGGCTCCAACTGTCATTATAATTAACTGCTGAAGGATGAAGAGCAATATACTGAAAAAAAGAAAACATACAAGAAATTGGCCTCACTGTTATAATGCCAGTTGAAAATTGTTCAAGCTGCAAGTCTAGTGATAAAATTGGAGTGTTCCCTAATAGACGCTTATGTTATATAACATATGGAAGCAATTCCCATGAAAGATTTAAAACCGGTTGGATGACTATATCATAAGTGCTATTGATGAATGTTATCATACCAGTTGGATTACTACATCATAAGGAATGAGTGACCTTGAAGTTGACAATGAACTTGTTTAGTCTAGAATGTGCCTTGCAATGGAGCACAGCCCCTCTGTGAAGTCAAGATAAGATACAGCCCATTCCCGGAGCTTTTGGTAAAGGCGGTGTTAAAGCTCTTAATCACTTTCTCATGAAAGTGGTTTTCTGCCACTCTATCACATATTCCACAAGTTCCCCCGCCTATGGAACTTTACAGAAAGAGGGTAACTTGCTGCAAAAGATTTGAGTGCTGTCCCATTAAATCTAGTTTCAAAAGAACAGTGTAGACTGATTTACATACAGGAGCCTTAGCTTTGCTGATAAGGTGCCTTTAGGCAGGGAGGATGTTTTACTTAGCAGTAATCCAAAGTTGGAGCCCGTGTCGCTGATATGTTCTACTCTTTCCCTGACAGAAACTGCCTGAGGTGAAACCTGATGTGTGTGCCAATGTGATGTGTGGGGCAGGCAGGGAGTGCACCGAGAAGGATGGAGAGCCAACCTGTATCTGTATAAGGGTAGGAATATGTCTTCATACATGTAATGTGATATGTGGGTCCAGTGAGAAAGAAGGGTAGCAGCTAAAAGTATCCTCGTTAGGGTAGATATCAATTTATCATTGAAAATAATGCCCATGAGAAGAAACGGGTTGCAACATTTGAGTTACTACCCTTTAACCATAGATCCAGCATGCTAACAAGGATTTTTTATGATATCATCACATGAGGAAGGTGCAACAAAATACCTTGTAATTTTACCATCACTTTGCAGACTTCATTTACTGAAGTTTGCATTTTATGAACAAGCCATAAACTCGAGTGCATAGTGTCATGGATCCAATTCAATCCATGCTATGTTTTGCATCTACTTTGCCAAGTTCCATGCAATGAGTATCAAACTGTGTGCACAGAATGGAAAATGATGCATACTACTAAAGTCTATGCACAGAATGCTATGTTGTTTTGACACAGTATTGAAGGGTTTACCAAAAGTGCAATAATTCACAGCAGCTTGGTACCATCCTTCTTTTTTCCTGTCCCTTTGATATGCAATTTAGACTTAAACTGAAAGATTTACATTCCATATCCTTCAGAAATGCCCCAGCCATAACAAGCCTGTCTGCGGCAGCAATGCCAAATCCTACATTAACCACTGTGAGCTGCACAAGCACGCCTGCGAGGCCGGGATCAAGATCCAGATCAAGTACAGCGGGAAGTGCAAGGAAGGGGAAGGTAGGGCAGAAAGTTCTCCTGTTCTTCTCTTACCCGTGACCCTGGAGATGGAGATGATTCAATTATGGTGAATATATTTGCAAAGGTTGTGACATGCTGTTCTGGTAATTTCACCAACATGGAAATGGATTCAGTTATACCGTGGCAATGTATGCATCAGAACTGAGAATGGCCTCATAAATTATGTATCAGCACAAATTTATGGAAGTCTGCTGATCACTTTGGAAGAAGTTTTGTGGAACTGTATCATTGATCAGAGTTAATGAGGCCATCTAGAGCATAGAGACTAAAAAGAGAGCAGGTGAAAAGAATGTGCAGCCAATAAGACACAAGTCATCTGCTGACATAATGGTGATAAACTTCACCTGTATGGTCTGATGAAATGATGGCCGACCTTTGCACTTTGGAGATATAAAGGAGCTGTGCCAGATGTGTTCGTTAAGATGGAGGATTAATGGACCAAAATAGTCCATCATGCCTCCCTGACTACCTGTAGGATCAATAAAGGTTCTGATGTGCTGGGGATCTGTCAGACAAATGGTTTTACTTGGTATAATGATGGTTTGGGCTTTACCCCACTCTCACGCAACAAAGATGCAAAGAGCTTTCTGTAATAACTTTTGTCACTGTGTAAAAGTGAGCAATGCAGTAGCTCTGTCCATGATTAATTGCCGTTCTGCTAGTGCTAATTATCTGCTGTGCTGGCAAGCAGTGCTAATGCCTATTAGAAGCTGCTCTCGTAATTCTAAGATTCATGTAGCCATTTTCTAAGGGCTTGGCATCCCAAAATTGGAATATAAGTCTTTGAGAGAAGCTGTCAATATTTAGATGAACAGTTACAGATCATATTTATTCCAGTTCCTTAATGAGTCAGGTTCATACCCACACTAAATATGGATGTACCAGAATTATGTAACCATGAAATGACATCTAAAGACTGTCACAATTTCATGTGTCAAAATTATAGGATAGCCAGTCAAATTAACTGATATCTTGATAATAAGTTGGGGTTTGAATTTACATTTCTGGTTTTTGATCAAGTGAAGTAGGGTATATAGTGAAATTTGGTATTCAAGCCAGGTTGCTTTAGGGAATCTGAAATGACAGCATGCAGTGGTTTTGTAGATCTCACAAACATGGTAATACAACCATGTGGCACTGTGCAGATCACTTCAGGGCTGTTCCATGAAAATCAAAATAACAGACCTGAAAAGGCTGTAACGTTACATGAATCTGCAAAGTGTTCATTTACTCTTGAAATAAAAGAATGAAACTTTCAGATTCATAACTACCAATCTTAAATTGTCATGTCTTTGTAAAGAAGAACCCCATGCTTCTTGATCTTGGCCATGTGGCAGAGCTATTGTTTTTCCTTGAACAGCCATAAACATGTACATAACAAAGATGCACTAATTGTAGTTCCACTCACTCCTGGAGTGTAACTTAAATGTTGTTATTGAGCACTAGTGTACACTGTGCCCACTCTGACGCTGTGCAGCACAATGCATATGTGATGCTGCTGATAACATGTTGTTTGTCACTAAGATGCCGGTGCTAGCCTGTGCTGCATGGCCACTTCCCCTGCTAACCCATGTTGTGTAAGCAGTGGATGACACTGCAGTTCTCCCCACAGTTAAGCCCACCAAGCCCAGTCAGCCCACCAACGACGTCGTCCCTGTCGTCTGTTTCGCCCAAAACAGAAACCTGCTACGGGAAAAGATCAGCGAATGGATCATGTCGGAGACTGTGTCTCCTGGCTGGTTCCAAACAGTATGTATGAGTAGTGTACTTAGTTCATAGAAATATGGTTACATACGTGTGACAGTATTTAATGGTTATAATATATGTTTGGGTGTGTGCGTGTGTTTGCGTGCGTGCGTTTGTGTGTGTGTGTGTGCACGCATACATACGTGCATGTTTGTATGTATGAGTTTGTGTAGATGTCCTAGAACGTGTTCAGACGTGGAGGGTCTGTTCTGTGATACCTTGCTAGCTTTTGTTTCCATGGCCAGTAATTCAAGTCAGTAAAATAGTCTACATTCATTTCAGTTATGAAGAAAAATGTCTTCTGATACCATGATTTATGCATTATGTAACAGGAGCCCTATTTGACAAAAACTTCTATGGCATTGTAAGGCATAAGTTTAGATTGAACTGGAATTGCACTGCTTTTATATGAGATGAGGAAAAGAAGGTTTCATTTTGGTGATTTATGGTCCTCCCCAGCAGTAACTCATGCAGGGTTGCAGTTATCACTGAAGGTATTTGCTGTAGCTTTCCTTACTTCACAGGGGGAATTCCTGGGAATGAACCGTGGTAGCATCCATCAATATAATTTGAGGGAAGGTCAAGATGCATCCTTCACATCAAGTACACATAACAGTACACTCAAGGACAAGGAAAACATATCAAAATGTGCAGCTTTACATGGAATCTAGAAAGGTTCTGGCACTGCACACCATACAAAAATGTACTAACTGTGACATCCTGTGGTGCTGGAATAAACAGGGACACAAGATGTTCTATCGTTATAGATTAAATTTTCAAAGTTATGAAATAAAGGGCAAGAAACATTTTAAAACTGGTTTCTATTTGGAAAAATTAGTCTTCAAGTTGGGAAATTTGAATTTGGACAGTTGTATATTGTGGATAAGTACTGCTATGTCTCTGACATTATTTCTGGCTAGCAGTGATAATACATGCATTACGTCCTGCTGACCTTTCCTGACAGATGACCAGCAGGGCTAAGGTGTGTCCTCATGTGTCAACTCAAACCTTCATGTCACCAGACAAGACACACCACACAGGTCACACTACCTGCTGCAGAAGCTTCTGGCATTGTTCCATCCATTGTTCCGAATTTCTAATCTGACAACTGAAATATGTTGTACATTCCACCTGATCATGTCACCTCTCAAAGCTCTAGTCTCTTACATCATTTTTACTTCTTCCAATGGAAAATGAAGTCCTTGCACCATCTATTGATATGCATTTGTCCATGCTACTGCTACTGCAGCCAGTCTTTTATCAAGTACTCTTGTCCCTCAATCTTCCTCTTCAAAGAATCCTCCAATACATACATGTCCACATCTTTTCCTAAGCAGGAGACTGATAGTTATCCTATTGACAGAGCACTTTATTGTAAGATATTGAGAAAAAGTCAGTAGCTATCTATATGTGTGCAACCACTGTGAAAGGGACTTATCTGCCTGAGAAGACACCTATCGACATCTCCTGCCTTAATGTGAGAAGAAATCTTTACAGGCGAACCATGAATACGCAAGGCATCAGGGAAGGTTGGTTTGTAAGGGAAGCCAGACTTGTAAACGTGTCTGAATAAGTCTGGTGGGATATTCCACCTTGTGGTTTAATGTGGCGAGTAGGATGTGTGAAGGGCCTTCAGGGGTTTGAACAATCAGTAAAGTCAGAAGCATGCAGGAGAATTGGACCTGCTACAGTAGAGGCATGTCTGGGGACTATTTATGTCTGTAGATAACTAACCCTGCAGAGCAGTAAGGCCAGTTAAAAAGGTCTAACAAGTGGAAGTTAAAGCAGAGGATTAGCTAATGTAAAGACGAGAGGAGTCGTAGACAAGCTAATGTCAACTACACATGGTAGTTTTCTGTACAAATGTTTACAGTCAGTAACATAGACCAACAGAGTAGCCATTGACTTGATTGAGGAATAGAAGTGGCAATTTTGTTGGAATAGCAATGAAACCAAGTGGTGAATAAGGCTCTGAGAGCTCCATGGAAATGAAGGGATCTGACATGAAGAATAAGGAGTGATGGTTTCCTCAGGAAAGTGGAAGTGAGGTTCCTGTGATGGATGTATGGTCCATGACAGGCCATACAGCTGATTGTCTGCTGTGCTTGCAACTGTCTCCCCACAACCACCCCTGTCATAACCCTGTGATTGTAGATACAGGTTTCATTTAGGATAACTCATAATTCCGTCTGGATTTGTAAATCTTAGGAGGAATCCAAGGACAGACAATTCCATGGACGGACTGTACAATCAATCTTCCAAATCAAACTGCCCGGCCTCATTGATTGAATCTGGTTGGGTTGATTAATTTGTATTCGTCTGATGTCTCATGTATTGTGATTAACCCATTTCAAAGAGCTTACAGAAATCTGCTATAATGACTATGATATCCAAATCAATTTTGTTGGAGCAGTAAGATATGCATCACAAAAATTGCTTGCGACAGCTATTTTTAGGTGGAGCCAGCTAGTCCCGTGTATGGTACAATAGATAGAAGAGCTTTTCCATTTGCAGTGGCCGTAATGTCTATCAAATAAGCATGAGAAGGCTTGGATGAAGCTCTGGAGAACCAGTTATCTTCATTAAATACTGGTAATGGCTCTTTGGTCCAGGTCATTTTGTTTTCAGGAAGACAAATGCTTTTCTCATGCACCTTGGAGAAATATGTCCTATGTTTTCAGAGAGGGGGGGGAGAACTTAGTCTCCCCTGAAGTTTTCATTCTACAGTACATCAAAGTGAATGGCACCAGTATGAAATGAAGTATGTAAGATAATTGATGAGTTGACTGATGCCATGTCTGACCCGTGTCCCTGTGGTGTTACAGGGAGTGGGCTTCGATGACGTCACCCAGCAGTACTTCCAGTCCTTCGACAAGAACAGCAATGGCAAGTTGGACTCCAACGAATTCTTGGCCTTTGTAGAAAGGAATGAGACGGCTGCTGCCATTGATGCAACCTCTGAAAATGAGGTTCTACTCAGGTGAGAAGACTTGAGGGCAGAATATCTATGCTCTAGGCTAACTTCCTCTCAAGACATCAAGGCTTGCAAGCTAGCCACAGGGAAGCCTTGTGTTCACCTAGGTACATTGTATTTCTTTCTTTAGAGCCCAGAGTGTTAGCTATGTGCCACAAAACTTCACTGTGTTGTAGGATGTCACCTTCATAGATCATATGAGCAGTTACAAGTTGGATAATTAGACAAACTACATAGTTGACACAAATTGTTATGTAACCCCACAATTGCTTAAATTCCAAATTCAGATTCGGTAACTTCATGTATGAAGACAGAACTATTTCCTTTAAAATGCAAGTGCATGAAGTAATATGATGCAGTGTTATTTATAAGTTCCATTAACACAATGCTGTCTGCTTCAAAAGTTTTAAAAGATGTATTCTCAAACTACTGTTACATGAAGCCCTGAGGTAGTGTTACCAGTAGAGATATGTTGTCACCACTGAGCTTAGATGTTCTTGAGAGGCTTCAAGGAAGAAGAAGATCTACAAAAGTGGAGAATGAAATCTCTTTGATCTTTTTGTCCAACCATCTGTCATGATTGACTTACTGCATTATTGCCATGCCACTTGGGACATGTATACATCAGAAAAGCTTAAGGGCAATTTCCTCCCCATGTTTTCCTCTGTAGAAATGCAAATAGGAGCTCAATGCAGCTCCCAAGTCAGTACCACAGGGTATTACAATCAAGTCATGTGAACAAGGAAATATTATCTTGTAAAATCAACCTTCCTGTTTATAGGCTGCCACTGCAGAGATAAAGCTAACTAACAGATGGCAGATAAAAAGGTGTAGTGTACTGTGGATGCTGTCTTTATTGTAAAGCACTTATACATGGTATCTTGAGAAGTTAAGTGTGGAATCTGTAATGTTAGTCAGCCCATCTGGCTGAGGTATTGTTGAGGAATACAAAGATGAAGCAGCTCTTCAAAAGAGACTTGATGGGAAACCTGTACCAGTATAGCGCTAGAATTATTTGCAACAGTATCTAAGACTTTGAAGTTTTAACAAATGTCCTGCTGTCTGTAGTGAGTTATTGCTTCAATTTTTGCAGCGGTGATGGATACTTCGCTTTTGTGTGATATTGTTCTGTCTGATAAAGGCAGAGCGCATTCTAGCATTCTGTTATGCACAGCTGAATGAATGTAATATACATCTAGATGCATACACTTATAATTAATTAAATGAATGTCAGAATATTTATAAGTTAACCCTGTATAGCTGACAGTATGTATTTCCAATGACTCCCAGGGGGCTGTGCGTGGATGCCCTGATTGACATCTCAGACGATGACTCTGATTGGGAGCTGAACCTGAAGGAATTCCGCCACTGCCTGGAGCCAGGCTTCCTCCCGCCGCAGAAGAAGTGCTCCCTGGAGGAGGAGCAGTACGATGATGGAGCTGAGACCCAGGTCAACTGTAACAGCTGTGTGTGTGCCTGTGGAAACTGGGTCTGCACTGCTCTGAAGTGTGACCCCACTCAGGCACCTCCTACTGTTGGTGAGTACCAGGGATAGTGACCCAGGTCAACTGTAGTGGCTGGGTTTGAGGGAGAGACCCAGCTCAAATGGTTATGGCTGTGAGGTTCTGTCTTTTGGAATATGCCACAGGCCTTCAGTGCCCTTCCTTGTAAGAAACTTTGGGAAAAGGTTACAGTTTCCCATGTATCAATGTACATAAAATCAATGTGTTATTATGCCTACAATGTTCTACACTCAGTTTGCAGTGAATAGCCTTAACTGTTACACCAACATGTGCAAGAAATCATGCATCAGCTAAGACAAGCATCGAACCAGCCTGTCTGTTTTCATCATCATCATCAACCCTTGGCCAGGAACAGTCCCTGCACCTCTCTACTCCACATTCTGCAGTCATGCATAGCTTTACCAATTCCTCAAATGTCTGTCTCAGAGCTAATGAATGATCGTACCGTAAAAAGCCTCCAGGATAACTGTCAGTGGGCACACATGTGGGTATTGATAAAAATGCACAGAAAAAAATTATCAATCCTGTAGGCAGCAGACTAATCAAAAGTCCTGGTGTTATTTCTGTAGGAGATGCATGAGTAATGGGCAGATGAATTTGCCTGTGGGATTTACACTGTAATCATTTTCAGCACACACCTACGGGCACTAAAACATCAATACACTGTAGCAGGAGAACCACGGCAAGGAACTGCTAATGACTGGCCTGAAGATGAATCGTATCCCATCGGGTGCTTGGAATGCCATTTTAATTACAAATGTAGATACGGCAGGAATAAGGTGGAGGAACTGTGGGATAGACATGGCAGTTATTGTCATGCATGATGACAGGTTGGTTGTTCTTGAGGGAACCATGAACTTGGCACTGCAGATGCCTGTTCTAATCACATTAACATTCATTACTTCAGCAGCCACTATGTGCCTGACTATGTATCTTTGCAATGTACAATTATAGGTTGTGAAGATAACTCATCATCTTAGGTTCATCAGACATCAAATTTTGTCTCCGGATGAAAGAAATGGCAGCTATTGAGATTCTTCTGGTTGCAGAAACAAATTGGAATCAGATCATCACACAATCTGTCCCGTGATCCAGACAACATTGCTAGTGTGGCTCCATGCCCATTTATATACTTTGTTGTGACTGTTGTATTGACAGAACTCAGCATTGAATGTGATGCTAATACCAACTCCATTGCCTGTAACAAATACCTGTTGGCAGCACAGATGGCTAAATACCTTGGGAAAAGACAGGTAATCTACCCTTGTCTGCGTTTGTACTGTAACACCCATGTCTGCTGTGTTTGGTGTCTCAGGTCCCTCTAAGAAGGACGACCTGCTGGAGAAGTCTCCTGAGGAGCTGCTGGAGGAGGAGTGGGACGAGTACGTCAAGCTGCTGGGAGATAACGGACCCAAGGCCCCGGCTCAGGACCACTCCTCCCAGGAGGAGGAGGAGGAGGACTGGAGTATAGAGGATGATATGGATGAGATCTTCCCCAGGAAGAAGCACCGCAAACATAAGAAGGGCATCAAACTTATCAAGGAGAAGGTCCGGTTTGACTAAGTGGTAACGTTTCCATCTGTAGGCGTGCCATAAGCTCTCAACTTGGAAGGCATCTCTGTTTTGAAAATGATGCTTCTCTTGTAGAATTTATCTCAGATGCAAATACATGTACTGTGAAGCACTGTTTCTTGTGAGTCTCATAGATGCCATGTAGTGTCTCAGAAATGTAGGAAAAGCATCAGTTTTGAAATGAATGCTAATGTTATCATGTGCAAGTAACAAATATCACACTATAATATGGTACTTCTCATAATAAATCAAGTGTCCAATGTGTATATACCATTTCAAAACATCAGTTTTGTAACAAAATCGTTTTGTTTGCAATACAGTATATATGATACATATGGAGGTAATTGGAAATACCTCTTGTAGTGTGCTTTACTGCTAACAGTTTTTCTTGGATTTGTTTTACTGCATTATGTATAGTTTTATGCATTAGAATTTTATATAATAGAATGAAATACCCAGCAGCTCATCATTAACTTACCCATAGCCTACATGTATGTAACCCTAAAGAAATGAAACCTAGCGAGAGTGTGAGTAGCACATGTCCCAGGAGGCTGTGTAAGGGGCAGTGTAGGATCCTGATTTAATCAGAAATTAAGGCAAGGTGGTGGTGCTTTGGCAGAATTTTCCATCTAGTATTTAAATGAGACTTTTATGTACCTAATCCTTCATATGACAGCAGTATTTTGTCCAAAAATATTGTAAAATTGAATTGATCAAAATTTTTTCCACACCATCCACTGGTATCTTTAAAATGATAGATTGAATTTTGTCTTTTTACCTTCCATAATTATAATTGTATCTGCAAGATCATGACAAGTTTGGCAAGTGATTGGTAATAAAATCATGACAGAAAGTGTAATATGATGTTCATAAAGAGATAATCCACTAAGCACTGTCACCACAATGCAGTATTTGATGCCTGCCAAGTGTGTACACCATGGATATAACATTCCAGCTAACTCCAACTCAACTTGGAAATGCAGTGTGTGTTACAAGAATGCAATCATTGGGAGAATGAGCTTGTAATGAAGAGATTACTTGATAGCTCTGAGGTTGATTGACTTGTAGCCATGCATTACAGTGGTTGCATCACACTATCAGTTGCCATTGCACCTGTATCAAAGGTCCTTGGCACCATTTAATCATTTTTCATTTTAATCTGTCAAACTTTTTCTCATCCAAGTGTAGAATCATAACCTACTAAACATACCTGACTTTAGTCAGCCATTTTCTGTATATATTTACACAGAAAATTTGACAAGCACTTGTTGGCAGAGGTTTGTACATACAGGAGAAAGTTGACAGGTGGACAGTTTATAACAGGCAAGTGGAAAATGAAGTGTGGTACTTCTGAAGGATTAGTGGTATTGATCATGGGACAGGTTATCCTTGTTGTCTTTGAAAACAGAGTGAGAAATAAATGACCACTGTTTTCTAGAGCTGTGGCTTGTGGTTGTTTTAGTTCTGACTGAGCAGGTTCATACAGTTTTTCACTCATCTGTGAGAATATGATTGGGAGGGTGATTGGAACTGTATCAGCATCAGCTGTTTCACACTAACTCAATCATAGCTAATGGAGACATTGGGGCAGCATGCAACTGGCTGTTTGCTGTAACAAAAAATTAAAGAGTTTATCATTAAAATACCTCACGTTAGCTGGTATTCCTCTACGCCTTGATTGTATGAGGGAGCTGCAGTGACTACATGCAGTTCCATAGTTAAACAGCAGGAGGTGCTGATGTATGGAAATAGGGAATACTAGAAGCAGCAGGGTCACCATTACAGTATCAGTTTATACCTTACAACTCTTACGTATAGATGTTTGAAAAAGCCATCGCCAAAGTAGACAGATCTGATCTTGTTCCAACACATTTCTTTTCACTGGCTAAATAAAAATAAACCACAGGAAATGTTATGCTGTCATAACATTGTTAACAAAAATCAGGTTTCAATGAGCATGCAAGTTTGTTTTACTCTCCAAGAAGGGATTGTGACCTTATACATCTCTGCCCTCTTCATTTTCTCAATGTCTGCTTCGAGAGTAATTCACCTCAACTAAAACCTCTTACACTCTAGTCTGTGAAAAAGAGGAAGAGACATGTGTTGTCATGGTTTCAGAATAGGGTAGATTTATTAATACAGAGTATACTGATAGAAAATGTACCAGTGGGATTGTGCTAATGGCTGGCTGGCACCATCTATCCAATATTGGAAATTAAAATTCAACATTGATGTCCACATACTTACAAAAAGGGAACCCACATCCATGGATAACGTACGTTGTGGAGCCATTAAGTTTCTTATTACAGATCTGCTAATAGCAGCTCGAGAGAGAAAGGTATCTTTGCTGAGCTGCACGTTTTGTACAACCAGTGTGCCGTATTTGTTTAGGAAGCATGTGTCTACAGTACAAAGAAAATACATACAGGGATACATGGAAGGGAAGGTGGAGTGGAATTATATCTTTTAGTACATGCTGAAGTTCACCCCCATCTGACCATATATTCAATTTCTTATTTTTCCATGAAAGAGTAAAATTAAAAAAACATGCACATGAAAACAGGAAAAAAAGCCTTTTTCTCATTTACTTAAAAACTAGTGTACACAAAATAAGAGCACTGGATTTCATTTCGTAAAACCCAAATTATTCAATTTTTCTGCATTCTTCAACTTGTTCCTCTGGGAAAGGATATTTGCACCTCTAATCGCACTGAAATGTGGTCTGATATGGTTATGACTTGTGTCACAACCTTGTGTCTTCTTCATTACACAGTGTACATGTAATCTTCAAACTGCCAACCTCTACATAACACATCATATTGTCTTGAAAAAGCAAGTCCAACTAACTTTTGGAGCTGAACACTACACAGTTTTACATAGGACACATGATTACATGCTGACACCCTCCTCCACTCCAGACTCAGTAGTGTCTCAAACATAAGAACAGCGGGGATAAGTATTCTTGTCACTGCTGGAGGGGAGGGGGGCAGCTCGAAGCTACTAACATGGAATTGTTTTAACCAATATTTACAACAAATCAAATTTCCCCTTCCTACGTTTGCCAGAAAGTTACCTCTGCACTAGAGCTGATCACAAGACATGGCCAAGACGTGCTAACTGAGGTAGGGTGGCAAGACTCCACGTCCTACTGTACAGGTTGCCACGTGGTACCGTTAGGTGCTGTACAGATGGGGCTGTGCCAGACTACTACAACTATCTACTGTGTGTAAGAGTATTGATACAGGAAAGGCCTGGAGTCATCATCTTTCAGGATCAATTTGGCAATTTCTTCATTTTGTCTTCTGGCTTATTTACATGCCGACCTGCCACAGGTACAGTATAGAGTATTCCTTGTCCAGGGATAAGACTAAGTATACATTAAGATCATACATGCATCACAGAGGACATGTTCTGAGGCTTGCATGGCAAGACCCAGCAACATTTGCCCCTGAGCAAAATAGTGCCATCCCATCCCTACAGCATGGAATAGACCAGAGTGGGTGCACGTACAGGACCCAGAATCAGCTCAAACATAAGACTATGTACAGGACATTGAACAATTCTTATCTAACTGGAACTACTTCCTCACAAGTTGTCTTCTTGTTATCTACATTTACAACGTGGCCTTACAGTGGCCTCTGTAGCTGTGGAATTCAACCCACCCTTGCAGACGTGCACAACATTGTATCTGGTTTTGCTATAGCGTCCCTCCCCTTCTGCTGACTGGGGTTGTAACCTTCCTTTGCACTGACAACATAAGCTACATAGAAGAGTGCTCGTTATCCCAGTATCTCTCACATTGAGTTTCTCACACATGATCACTTGTTGGACAAAACAGCTCAGTAACCACAGTATCCCCATACAGCATGGGCCTGCCAGATCTACCCTGTTGATTTCTGTCATCAGCAACGAAAAATGGCCAGAAGTATACTGACCAAGGTAGGAGAAAGGAGGGCTGTGATATGTAAGCCTACTGATGATTGGTGGACCAGTGGGACGAGGAAAGACCAGCCCTCGTGCCATTGGTCAACCAATCCCAGGAGGCAGACGTGTGCCTGAGCTCCTGATTGGTTAGTGAGAGTTACGTCCCCCCAGAGGCTGAGGCGGTGGCCCCTCCCCCTGACGTGCCAGCTTCTGACGAGGCGGCGTTGGCAGCCTCTGCGTTGGAGGTGGGGAGGGGGGCAGCACCCTGCTGTTGCAAGTGAGGCGGTAGAAGCCGCGAGTTCAGTGATGGGTTGATGGACAGTTCTGCAGAGGTAAAAAGTCAAACATTACACACACAAAGTCAATCAGTACAACAACATGGCTATTTCAGTTTCTAAAGTGTAATATTAAACTGAACTCAATAAACTCAAGTCAACAGGAGCCACGGGACATATCTTGCCTACTAAACTTCGCCATGTTAAACTTTAAGTTGACGTACCATGTGGAGTGAAGTTGAAGAGTGGCGGCAGCTCTCTTCCATTGGGTAACCTCGTGTTTGGGTCCCGTAGCTCGTCAAAGAACGGATGTGTGCAGGCCTCCAGCGGAGATATCCTGGCCCCCGGCGTGTATTCCAGCAGCCGACTGCAGAGGTTGATGGCCTCGGGCGGTGTGCGTGGTCGAAACACCTGAAGGGGTGACAAGACACAAGGTAAGGTACTGGTGTCATCTCAGGAGTTTACTGCTGCTGTATCTGGCCTGGAGAGAAAGGTACTCATTCCTGCAAATTCTGCAAACCACAAACACACATAATGGGAGGGGCTGAACCAAAGAAAAATTCACTGTGCTCTACACTCAGCAAAATCAGGATCTCACAGGTGTCATTTAGTTTCTGTTTGAGTTCTGGCCACTATACTGTAGCTACAAAACCACAAGCAAAGCTAGTTCTACAGGCAGCTGGACTGTAGACAGAATTTGCAGTGGAACAGACCCTCTCCAGGCTCTAAAGTACAGTAGCAGTGTGCATGTGGGTGTGGAGAGTGAAACAGGAAAGGGTCTACACACCTTGGCACCTTTGCCAAAGCTGGGTGTTCTAGAATTAGGGTTTAAAGCATCTGCCAGCGACTGAGGTCCAAATACCTATTGAAACACAGATGGGAGAGTCAGTGGAGTTCGGCGGTGTGCAAGAAATGGGTTGGCAAGGACAGATGTCCCCGAGACACATGGGGAGGGATGTCCCATTGGACAATGGAAATCAATTTTACCATGCAGTGTGGAATGGGTGATGTAAAAATCAAGGACAAGGACAAAAAAAGGAAACGGACCCCCTCCAGGCAAGTTACCATTTGTGTCGCTGGGTAATTTTTACTTCAAGGCAGTTGTTTATATTGCCATTGGGTAAAATTATTGGTAGGCTGATAGAACTAGAAAAGAATACATACAACAGTTTTTATAACCTACTCATTGTCATCAAGTTTCAGTACCAAACCTACTCCAATCTATGCACACCCAAGCATGTCCAGATGTCCCAGGGATACCATTCGTGGGCACTGGGCCACCTGAACTTTGCAATAGAAACATCTCATGCCACTATGAAAGTTGTCTGTGATGAAAGTTATCTAATGACTAAGAGCTCCAAAGCCTATACTGCTATTAGATTTGTACATCTAATAACAGGTAACCTATAGTAGTTTTGGCACCATAACCACAAAGGAATAACGCAACTCTCTTCTCTCAACCATCTCAAAATTTTTGGAACAGGCTTTTGTCAACTTTGGACAGAAATTTTATGGTTCCAAGCACCATCAGAAAACCCTGCCACAGTTAGCATACACCTGGAAGTTCCTGTTGCACCAGGGACCACAAAACTGATTACCAAAGACATACTGTATACAGCAGCAGCAGCCTGCCCTACCTTGTTCCAGGGGTGAGGCTTTATCTGAGGAAACTTGAACTCCTGGTAGTTCGGGTTCATTTCCCTGATTTGTTCTCTAGTTGGAGTTCCTAGAACCTGAAGAAAAACAACAGTTTTAGCCAGCATTCATTGGATCGGATTGGAGAATGGAACACACTTCATGATATTATGTCTAGAAAAAATAGCTTGTATTTTCAAGCATTAACAACAATTTCACTGTTGCTAGAGGACAAAACAAATGTTGATGTAGAGATATGCTCCACAGTTTTTCTAAACAATCTACTTCCTACTGTTTCCTATGAACAACAAAAAATCATTTAGGCCATCAGACACAACTGGTTACTAGAATTGTTAATTTGATAGGACTAACAGTACATATGACACAGTTTCAGTACCTTGATAATCTCTACCAACTGGTCCACCCCACTGTCCCCGGGGAAGATTGGCTGCCCCAGTAGCAGCTCCGCTATAACACACCCAGCTGACCACGTGTCTGAAAAGAACCATACAAAAATCTTTTACAAACTCACCGCAACAAAAGTGTAGACTACAAAAAAACTTTTGCTTGTGACATACCACAGAAAGTAAATCTCTTCTTAGTTATTATTAGTAGAAAACCTATAGTAGAGTACATAAGGGCAGAGGAAACCTGTAACGTACCAATATCAGTTGTGTAGTCTGTCGCACCAAATATAAGTTCAGGTGCTCTGTAGTAGCGAGAACAGATGTACGACACGTTCGGCTCACCCCGTACCAACTGCTTTGCACTGAAAAGATCAAGATGTGGAGGAACTCAGATGTGTATTTACATATTAAACGCTGTATCTTTAAGACTGCAATTTACATTTTTTTGGACAAATTACACTTACTCATCTTTGAGTTCATCACTGCACCAGAAATATGATATCTTTCTAAGACATTTGACTAACATGTGCAGTATTGATGTGGATGCTTGTGTCTAGGATATGTACATACCCCCAGAGTTAAGCTGTTGATCTTCTACTAAAACTGATGCAGTTATGGTAGAATAAAACTGTGACACATTCCAAGACAAAAAACTTAAGCAGCTCTCCTGCATACCTTCCGAAGTCAATGAGCTTGAGGACCGCAGTCTCAGGGTCCAGTAGCAAGTTCTGTGGCTTGATATCTCTGTGGCACACTCCCATGGAATGGATGTATGCTAAACTGCGGAACAACTGGTACATGTACAACTGTGGGAGGGTACAAGGAGACATGGTCATTAGAGTCACATCCTTTATACACACAGCATCTCTAATGTAGAACCACTCTTTACAACATAGCTGACTCGATCAGCAATTCCAGTCATAAATGTTGCAAAAGTCACCTCTAACATGCAGTTGCTATGGATACAGATACCCAAATATAATACCCAATAACTATCTCATCAGGGCTGATGGCATGGCAGTTTGAATGGCATTGTGCAAGGATAACACTGATGACCTCTCATCATGGATTATCACATGTTAGCAACTACCCCTCATGGAAGAGCCATCCATGGTATGATAGAACTGGTAATAATACTTTAAATGTATCCAAAAGGTCTCAATGGAGGTATCAGATATCATACATCTCTGCTCAAGTACAGAGTATTACATGATTAAATTCTGATGTCATCATCTTGATACCCATCTTGACTGTATCATTATCGTTACATACAATACAGACATCATAGCAACTTCACATACTAATGAAACCATCCTTATCACAACTTCATCAATATACAGCTACAGGGAAAAAGAAATCACATTATCTCTACGTGAACAACATCAGTAGTTTGCGGTACTCACCTTTACATATAATATAGGTATCGTCTGTTTGTTTTTACTGTAATGCCTAGCCACTCTATATACTGTCTCTGGTACAAAGTCCAACACTAGATTCAAGTACACCTCGTCTTTCTGCAGGGGAACATAAGACACAGGGCAAATGCAGGTTAACAAAATAACAAAAGTGACCACACAACAGGCTGCTTCAGAAAATATCACAAGGTGGCAGAATGGCATTTAAAAATTGGAATCCTAACTGTAGTTTTAATCTAATCCCATAGGTTGGGTCTATTTAAAAGAACTTTGTTGTTCCTTACAAATATTTAAGAATTTACTTTGATTTCTTGCCTCATGATTTCTTCTAAAACAGCCATGAATAAAAAAATAGAAACTGTCCCATATGATTGTTGCTGACAAAAGAAATTAGCTTCATGACACTTTTCGTGGCACTTTGAAGTAGTTTTATCTGCTTCCATTCTTAGGTTGCCTTGAAAAATAAAGTATGAAACTGACATGACAGGAAAGCCTGATGATATTTTATGTATTGGGGCAAAAAAGAAACCATGAAATCAGGCACCTCACTCTGCTGAGTTGCAAAAGCATGTTCCTGGTAATTTTGAGGCATAATTGCTTATATAATTGCTATATTGTGTAATGTCGCCAACTCCCAGATGCCTCTTTTTTAAGTCACCTGCTAGTATACAGTGCAATTCATTTGTGGTTTCACTTGATGTTTACAGAGAAGTGTCATTACTAGTTGAATATATATACATGCATGTATATATATATACTAGTGTGACATTTGAAACAACTATAACAGAGGTTGATACTCTTTATTTACTTAATTTAATTGTCAAAACAAAATTAACACACATTTAGAGTCCCTGTGCTCTCAAAGCAGAATTACCAATACTTGGTATATGTAATGTACTGGCCCTAATATGTCCCATACCTTGAACGTCTCCCATACATTACAGAATAGCGATGTTGCAACTTATCACACATCTACAACAGAGTTATGTGTGGCATCTCAGAAGACCTATAAGCCTGCATTGATTTGTTACACTTTGACATTCATGTCAGAATATCACATACCAGAGCCACACTAAACATTAGGCTCACAGTCCACTTACTCACTTAATGTCATGAATTTTGTTTTTTTTCTTAATATCACTAATCTACAACAGGTAATATAGTCAACATATGAATATGATACATGCAAATAATAATAGTGATTAGTTAGATCATCTATGAATAGCAAGGTGAACAGAGGGAATGGCTATAGAGATACATATATTCAGATGTTAAATTTGTAATTGGTTAGGTTTTAAGACACTTGTTGTAAGGGTTTTATGTCTTTTACTTGGAGACTACCAGAAGATTTGTAAGACATTGGTTTGTTTACTGGATGGTGTGACTGCCTAGGATGAAATGTGGCAGTTGACGATTACAAAATCATATATTCATGCTGTTCTTCCCAGCAGAAATGTTCTGTATGAGGGAATAATGGCGTGCTTACAGACAAGGCCCTGAAATCCAGCAACAAATGATACTGAGTGGTATACACACAACATCACATTTCCACACTGTTTGGCTCACAGTTTGGGACACAACATTATGGTATGACTTTATGGTAGAGATAAAAGTTTCCCCATGACACCATAATGCCGCCTCAGAGAGATATTTTCCAAACTTGGAGATGACTAGTCACAATAATCAATGACTCATGCACCTACCCTTAGTCACAGAAGCTTTCAGAGCACAACACCCGCTGGCACTGCTTTCACCATAGGTTCTTATTGATCTTCATCATCCCCACCCATCACTGTACTTAGAATTGGGACTTTTTTAACACTTGAAGTTGAATCCTTGATGTTAACTTTTTTTCTGCCTGGTCAATAGTACTATGACAACTTAGCATGGAACTAGCAAGACTTCATAGTGTTAAATTGAATGAATAAAAATGTTTTTGTCTTTTCCTATCCAGCATTTGTCTGCTTCTAATAATAGAAGTTCTATGCTGAGTTCTTAACAGGCAGTGGGTCTGATATTTTAATAACCATTATATATTTAAGGAATGTTAGCTGAGGGGAAATATGCTGCCTCCAGATTACAACTACCATCTAGACTAATCACTTAAGGCTGCTAGTTATTCATATTTGCAATACCCACTTTGGTAGCTGAGTTGGGCTTTGCCCATCTGAATTACTCAGTAGAAACTACAATACTTTTCAGGGGTTTAAATACCATCTGTGACACTGTTACACTAACTGCGCTGGTTTTGGTTTCATAATGCTGTACAGCAAAATGACATTCTGGCTTCTCTATCGAAAAAGTCAGAAACAATATATGACCCCAGAAGTATGGAAGTCTTCAATAATGCACAGATAAGGACTGTTTCAGTAATAGAAAAGAATCTAAGTGGAGAAAGTGGCTGGCTGGGTAAATAAAAATTGAATAAAAAATACACCTGACAAAGAAACAAGTGCTATTTTTTAAAACTAGTACTTTGCCTAATAATACTTGTCATCTCTACCTACAAAATTTTAAAAGGCACATAGTATAACTATAAGCAAGCTACAGTAAGGTGATAATCGGAACACAGACAACTTTCAGTTAGCGTTAGCTGAGTCAGTAGAGAACCTACAGCTACAAGGCAATATTTCTCTGCCCTTGTTACAAAGCTTGAGGATGATGCTTACACTGGCAGCCCGTGAGTCGGACCCTGCTCCATTCCCTGTCTTGTCCTGTAATCCAAAATGTTGTTCACAGCAATAAGTGGGTTTTCCCAGACTTTCTGCATACATGGTAAGTCATGTCATTTTTCTCTCCATATTTCAGGTCTACAATCAGTATATATCATCAATCAAAGAATATGTTCGATTAGATATGATAGTACGTCCATGTCATTGTCAGTCTATTCATGATTTTCTCATTCTGCCAATCAATAACAGATGCATAAAACAGGATTCAGACAAAACTGGTGTAATAGTTGTAACAAAATATTTCATGCATTCTTGTTAACTCAACACAACTGTTAATTCAACACAACAGAAACTAATGTTAATACCCAAACCAAAGCAAAGCAAAGCAAAATACATCAATTTATTACCAATATTTGTTAAATATAGCGACAGAAAAAAAAAGAAAGGACAGATGTTGACAGAGGAAGTTGTCTGTTTTAATTTGTAATTGGTTTCTCAATAGTCCCACCAATCTAACCAGGCAGTTGAGTTCTAAAACCTGCAATATTTTTTCAACTGCTTACCTGTATTCAATTTTCTAACATAACAATAGGTCTGAGGCTACCTGCTGCTGCTATGATGGAAGCAAATTCTTCACTCACAAAAACTGACTTATAAGTCCCTTAGGGTGCTTTAATGAACAAAAACTGACTTATAAGTCTCTTAGGGTGCTTTAATGAATATTACTGTCCAAAATAACTGTTTTATCAATCCTATAACAATTCTCTGCCCTTATACGTACTTTTTAAATCAAATTATGGAACAATTTTGCTTGTGCAGAATTTGCTTTAAAAAGTGCTTTTGCTAATCTTAACTATGTACTTCCAGCTGCAAACCACCTTGCTAATCATGGCATAGGAAACATTTTAACATCCCTCCCAAACCCACACACTAATGCGGAGAAAATTTGCATGACTGAAACCCTGGTAATTCACTTTGCCAGCCGTCCTTACATGACGTCAGTAAAGATGCCTAGGCGATCACGAGTTCTGAAAATTATGAACAACCCTTGGGGGGAATTTCTAAGTACATAAATGATAACGATGGAGGAAGGGAGGCAACATCAAGGTCCCATCCCTACTTTGTCCAACAAATCTGCTGTGCATGTACCTGTAGTCTAATATAATGTACAAAATAAGAAAGTAGAATTTCTAGTTGCAAATTCCAGTATTCTGAAGGTAACATACATTATATTCCTTCATTCTGTAGCCTGTTTCAAGCCTCTCTCTGACATATGGGCTGCTTAATATTGCATTAAAGCATGATAGGAAGTAATTCTTCTGCACTAATTTCACTGACAACAGAAGCCTTCTGCATACTTATAGATCATAACTGTGCAATATACAGTGACCTCTGCACACAACCTTTGACCTGTGAACTTTCCAGTGAACAGGTGTTGAAACAGGCTGTTTACCCATGTCCCATTCCTGCCAGTCTAGAGGGGAAAGTCGGTTTGTTTTTCACAAACGTGATCCAATTACACACAATAAAGCTGGAAGTACATGACCTGAATGGCACGTGTGCTCAATAAGCGCCTAAACAAATATGGCATTTTTGCAAACCTTTACTTTAATCTAAATGGTCTTTAACAATGGGTAAAATACCATCAATCTTTTTTATGATTCATAACTACATACTGTTTAGGATATTGTTTTGGCTTTTACCTGTGTTACAAATTTTTACTAGCTTGTGGAAATTACACAAAATAGACAATACAGCAGCTTGATGCTAAAAGCAACTTAGTCATCAAGTTCAGATACTTCTGACAATGTTACATTAATGTTTCACAAAATTGTTGACATCTATTAAGGAAATATGGCCGACAGCTGTCACAGCTTCAGATAATTTTTCCTCATTTGCTCAGAACTTTCAACACGTTTATCGATCAGTCACACGGCTCAGACACAAATCCACTCGGTAAGTGAATTACACGTCCACTCATGGTCATGTGACTGGAGGGAGACGGGCCAACTACCCATCTGCACTTCCGGACTACCTGTGCTGAGCCAGCCTTTCATGGTTCTCACCAGACTAGAATTTACAACCTGATCCTGTCCTTCAGGTAATGGAACCCAGCAGAACTACATGTGCACCATACCAGGGGCTGTGACCTTCAGGTTACTTGGAGGTTAACATATGGCAGTTACTGGCAGGAAGCATAATAAAGTTTATCTGCATGCGCAAGCACAATGGCTGTTCCAGTAATTTTATGGGGGGACAAATGTCAATCCAGTACCTCCAGCTTCACAGATATCCTTTCAAGGACATATTCAAATCAATCATGAGTCAAGTCCCCCTACTTACCCCCATATCTAAACATTCCCATCATGGACCGTGACACAAATACGCGTAAGGTGTATGTTCTCGCAGCTTTGTATTACAGGAACCACAAATCTGTGTTCCGAACATAGACCTGTATTGTTTTGCTGGCTCCCTGATCAAGTGGTATCTGTGGTTATTTTAAAGAGCCTCTGGTGCAAGAAGCACAAACATTTGGCTGTTGGAATGCTCCCAAATCTCCCATGATGATGTTTTGTTTTCCAGTGCTTATCGCTCCCTTTCACTTGTACAGAATGGTGAAACAGTGATGCTCTCTAGTCTCTACTTAACATGTAACCAGATGCTTCTTGCAAGCAGCGGTGATCTACACAGGGCAGTCCAGATGGGCATCAACAATACCCAGACCTACATGTTCCTCTGCCTCACATTCATCATATTACAGCTGAAATGTTTACAGGCTAGAGCTGTCCTAGAATATACCAATGCTGTTAAATAAAACGAGCACAATTTGAGACCAATCCCCATTGCTTAATTCTTGGTTCAATATCTGGTGCAGGAATGTTATGAATAACGGAATAGCTGTGTTCTAGCATCATGGTAAATTCTAAAAATTGGCATTTCTTGGAAATTGTGTACAACATTGCAATAGTTATAAATATACTGTATGTCTACAGAATGGTTTTATGTTGGCTTTAAGTCTATAGAGTCATAACTGAACTTTGAATGTTTCATAACTCACTACTTCAGTTTCTGGGCTGATATAATCCGCACAACAGATGACACAGGTAGCAGTTTATTTATGCAGCACAGGAACAGGTGAGCTACAGGTGCTAGTAGCCTCAGTCACCTGCAGACACAGTCTCAGATTCACACATAACAGGGATGGAACCTGCCAAATACTGGGGCAGGCATGAGAAGGTGGTCATCATGCCTAACATAGCAGCTTCATACCTGGTCCTCTGCACTTTTCCTAGGGGAATGTAAATGATTCTACTTTGCAGCAAAAAAATGGACTGTTGTTGATTACCATCAAATCAATGTGACCCAGCATAAATTGTACTATTACTTCAATGTGGATGAGCTGTTATATTCTGTTAGGCCTAGTTATTACCTACATTCAAAAAGTTCTGAGCAGTTGACATACCCACAATAATTTATACTGACTTCAGTGTTTTTTACATTTCATTTTACATGTTTGAGCAGCAGAATAAAACTGAAGGATAGTATGTTGGTAGGGTAAGAAATCAAACAGAAGAGAATATGGGAAAGGAAGCATCTGTTGGAACAAATGGAGTGAGAGAATACAAACTGGAAAGGTACAGGTATGGGTACAAAGAGGAATGGGCATGGGAACAGGATTTCCATGGCATAAGACTTGTAACATTTAAATTTTAATGCACTAAACAACTGTTTTTTACTGGATCCATCCAGTCCCCATGTCTGATTTGGCAGGTTGCATACCAGTGCTAGATGTGAGACTGTGTGGATAAAACAGCTGAGATGCTAATAAATCTTGAGCCAACAAAATCTATTAAATTAGACTTACCCTTCTCAGACAGGACAACTGAAAGAAACAAAACGCATGGGAGTACCATACCAAGTGTGAGTGGAACAGGCGTAGGTTGCCATGTGCACCAAGAGCTTTTCTGAACACAAAGTCTAACATTTGGAGTTGCTGATTGGCTTGGAAAGAAAAGTGTCTTTGTTGCTCAATGGAAATTAAAGTCAAACTCAAACGTTGTGAGTTAGGGCAATTCCAGGCTTAATTTTCAGGGGACAAGATAGCATTAAAAATCAAAACGTGGAGCTATAGCTAGCTTTTCATAAAAATATAAATTTAAAAAAATTCAATGACGTGAAAATGCCATCTTGCCATCCCTATCTTATATTCAGGAATAACTACTCACCTATTCTCCAGTACTATTTTTGGAACACACAGCACTATCTTAACCAGAAGACTTTGGTTCAGAATTGCGAGTTACAACAGGCAACCTACAGCAATCTAGCTTGGTATAGTGGTGAAAAATGTAAGTGGAAAGTCAGCACAGACAAAAGAGGAAAGGAACTAGAGAAAGTTATGCAGCTACATAAGCCTGGCTGTTGCTGTTATGATTAAGCCTAGAGCGATACATTGACACATACCGCACACATACACAATGCACATGGCAAAAACCTTCAACTATTACAGGTTTATGATAAACGCATCATATGATGGTCTCCATGAGATGTGCTGTTTAATGTCACTTTAGTTCCCATCTACAGTTTGTCAAACAGTGCTGCTTTTTGTATCACTGCCAGAAGATGCAAGAAATACTTCACTCTGCAGGTATGTTCAGAAGCCAAGACCCCAGTGTGAGGCTTCCATGCACGTAATTTGTACATATGACCAGTAGTTCAGTTGCTCAATCTGGGCACTTGTCAACAATAACAAGGGCACCTGCCACATCAGCAAGCTTTTGCCATTTGCACCGTGGTATTGATATTCTCCATGCAGGTACACAGAAATACAAACCTTCTCTCCGCTGGAGTAGAAGAAGTATCTAAGCCGCACGATGTTGATGTGTTCCAGTTTCCGCATGATCTGTAATTCCCGGTTCTGTAGAAGAGGAACGAAAAACATTAGTCAATCAATCTTTGGAAAGCCCATCTCATTCCCATTAACATTTCTCAAACACTATTCCTCTGGTGAGAATAGCAGAATTCCTGATGCCAATAAACGCAAATTGACTGCACTTAAATATGGAAAAAAGACGTCAGTCCACATCTCCGCTCAGAATGATTTGCATACAACATCAAAGTATCATTCCTTGCATACATGAGACGAGTATTAAACATTAAGCAATGCACCAAATTTCTGATATTTACCACCACACATCATACATAACCTGGGAGGAGTGAAAATCCTCAGCTTTTTCAACTTCCCTTGAAGTTTCCCTGTAGCAGCTTTAAGCTGAGCCATACATTAACTAGATAATCAGACATATTACTGCAAATGACTACAAAATGGACTTTAACAATCTTCCAGCCAAACAAATTTGCAAGGCTTCAGTTAAGACCAGCACATTGTAAGAAGACAAATTCAACAAAAACATTCCATTCACCTGAATAACATCAACAGTACCATAATCATAATCTTTATCTTATCTTTAGAAAAAAGATAGCCATTAAATTTATCAATCATACACATCTTCCACACAACTACAGAATATAGTAGAGACTTGTTCAACTGATGGACAAACAACCATGGTGTTAACCCATGTGTCAAATTATGTTGTCAAATCATAATTCTGTAATTCGGATACCCCTGGGCTAGACTGTCCCCTAGTTTATCGCCATCAACTTAATTTTCCAGTAGGTGAACTAACTAATCAGAGTACGGTTACTCAGCCTGACTCAGGTCTTACTGAATTAAAATGTATCCAGAATGTTTCACCGTTTTCATGTGGTTTAGAAGACAGAAGCCTCTAAAATTACCTACACACAACAACAAAAATAAAATGGCATCTGTAAAATTTTTACTTTGACTGGGCCTAAATCAACACAATCTTTCTACTAATTAACTGGATTTCCATATATATTTCAGCTGGCTGCTTAGTTGACTAGTTATTTCAAAGTACATGTACTTAAAGCTGATGATAGCAAAGTGTATTTGATTGTCAATAATGTGTTTATCAATCTGTTGAATTCCATAACAAGTTTGCTTAGCAGCTACCTGTTTTCAAATAAGTCACTATCAACCAAAGTATGCATATATCATAAGCATATCAAATCAGCACTAAGTAGTAATATTAGATATACAATCCAACTTATGTTTATTAATGGAACTTCCTGTGAATATTTGCAGTGCAACAAGGACAATTCTACAGGTATTCAAAACTGCTGACCTTAAAGAGAAAAACAACACTGAACTGAAG